AGTTACCACTATAGCTGGTAACCAGTGGTTCCAAAGACTAAACCCATAGACCGAACGAATCCCTGGTTCCTTGTATAGTGGTAACTGGGATGCACTGGGCCTATTAAAACACACACCCACGTAATGACGCTGCTGCGTTGCTCCGATGCTTTCCCTCCCGCCCTTCCCCTCACCGATGGGGTGCGACGATGGTTTGGGGGGGTCAACATGCTGCTGGCCTCCAGGGAGTTCTAGGCACTTCTGACCGCGGCTGCTTGTGTTCTAGAAGTGTTGTTCACAGATGATGTACGGGGCAGTTAATGCATGTCCAAAGTACAATGCATTCACATTCATCCCAACTTGCACTTTGAATTCCAAGTTAGCAACTCCAAAAACGGAACTCTCAGAACGTCCAATGACATATTTTTACCTCACCTGAGAGTCATAACCGACCACTAACTTTCTTTTTTTATGGTAAAGTGAGTCATCTGCACTCTCTCAGGGTCAGTGAAGCGGCCTCCTTTGCCATGTTTCAGGCCCGGCTGGCACCGTCCACCGCTGCGGTGGAGACCCGCGCACACGTGCACGATGCACGATGGAGAACGGCACGGCTGGGGCACCAGTCATGGGATTTGGTGGAGCACAGATGTGGCGATGGAGGAGGGTTGCAGCGCGATTTGGGCAGAATCGCTGCGATCGTGCTGGCGCATCGATTCTCTCGTGTTGAACGAAAAGAATGACCTTTCTTAAGGAGACGAATGGAGACGAACCCAGAAGGAGGTCTTGTGATTCTGCAAAAGCGCTTGGTCGCACCTCATATATCGACTCCCTGTTGGTCACATACCCCAAGAATCCATGGGGTTATATTGACCCTCAAAATCAAACCACTATACCAGCAGCTCCATGTCTGGGGGTTGGAGCTCAGTCCGGGGTGCCCCTGTCACGACATCACATCCCATGTCCCTGGATGGCACTGAAAACCCCTTGTAGGCCTCCCATCGCCCGGATTAGAAAAGGGATAGGGCACCAGGCGCCACCAGGCACCACCAGGTGCCAGGGCCTGGTGAGGTCGTTTCTCTACAGGGCAGACCCTGCGAGGAGGAGAGCTACCGGAGTGGAGCGGGAAGGGAGAGTCCACCACCTCTGGACCATCCTGTTTGGGTGTCCAGTTGTGGACTTATTTAGGGATCTCCATTGAACACCCGGACAGGATGGCATGGTACATGACAAACTTTCTTGGACAGGTGTCATGGTGGGGTTTGGTTAGGTCCTCGTTTTGCTTCGGCTTATAGCGTGATGTTTATCGTTCCTTTTAGTTAATCCACGTTCTCATATAGCGACGCTGTTCCTTTTTTTTCCGGCTCCTGGGAGCAGCAAACAGAATTCTTCGGGGGTTTGCCACCTCAAATTCACCGGTGGAGCGCATCCCGAATCACACCTCAAGGATGGCACCCGGTGAATCGGTTCGGTTCTGGGCTTAGCGGCTTTGGCGTTGAGGCCCTGCAGTGCTGCGGCAGTGTTGGCGGCTGCAGCTGGGGTCGGGGCGCTCGATGGGGTTCGACCGCTCGGTCGACACCATCCACGTCGAGCACGGTGCGGGAGGCGCGGGATGAAACACGCAGAATGAGCTTGGGCGGCTTGGTATGTTTTGCACCTCAGTGAAGCAGAGCAAGCTGGCCCTAGTTCTAGGCTAAAGCTTGATCCTGAGGCCCCAACGACCGGTCCGTGTGGAGGGCTTATTAGCACGATGGATTTGCTGAAGTAGAACCAAGTAGAAGCATGCTGAAGCATGTAATTGTAGGGATGGTGATCTTCCCCTTTTCATGCCCCGCATGCCCTGAGTTTCCAACGCAGCTGTCTTCGGCTCACTGGTGGCTCGGAGTCCACTCCTTGGGCCGAAGAACAAGAATAAGAAGAACAAGACCTAAGAAGACACAGCTACTACTTTTAGTGCTGAAGGATCTGACTTTTTCTGCTCAACTTACTCTTTAATCCTCTCTCTCTCTCTCTCCCTTGCATGGCTATGCAAGACTTTGGAACATTCGTATGCCATCCCAAACCCCATGTTCTTCACTCCCAAGAGAGTTCCGCTGGAGCCCACGCCACCCCAAACCCCATCGTTCGCAGCGCCGCCATTGTTCCCACTCCACCGGGTGACCTCCTGGCGCGGCGGCGACGTGCGGCGCCCATGGAGCTGCGCCCGGCGGCGAAGAAGCCACTGCTGCCCAAGGCCACCAAGGATAAAACCTTGCCGCCCCTGTGGCTGAACCCGAGGGGGGTGACCTATGGGTCGCGGAGGAGGAAGGGTAGTGGAACTTGGCGGAGATCTGAGGGAGATAGTTGTTTTTTTTGGTGTTAGTTTTTTTCCGTTCTTTTCGGAGGTTGAGATTCAGGCATCTTCTATGCCAAATGGAGCTTTCGCATACCTCAGTGACTCAGTGCCAATGTTTGTATGCCGAAGTTTGGGTGGATGAGGAGTAGGGCCACTATGTGTGGGGTTGCGTGGCAACATGTGACCAAAGATTACACCGTTGGTTTCCGGTCTGTTCATGCCAAAAGCTTCGTTCTCATAGCACCAGCTGCTACATGCAGCTGCTACACTCCAAAAAACATGGAAGTGGAGTTTACCACCCCCTGTTTGGTCTTCGTATTTCATGGTCCAACGTGTCATGGCATCCACCTCAGGATGATTTCAGAGACATGCTGCAGGATCCCTGCAGACCTGGCCGCCCCTTCCCTCCGTTGATGCTGAGGCAGGACAAGGGCTGGAGCTCCTTCAGCGAAGGATCTGCTGGGGGCTCACTGGCCTTGTTGATCTCAGCGGCCATCGGCACAGGCGCGCTAGCGCTAAGCGCGTGCGAAGGAGAGGTTTGGGTCGGGGCCACGCCACGAGCACTGGTGAATTTGTAGGTCAAATCGAGTAATTAGGCATCCACACAGAGTTACAGAAGCTATTTTACAATTGTATTGAGGTATAATGCTTGTGCTTGTAGTGTAAAAATCAACTAACAAGTCAAACGCACATGGAAGTGGATCCCCCTACTGTGTGAAGGAACTTGTTTGCTGTTGCGGCCAAGCCACCAAAGCGCAGCAACTATTTAGCCGTGATGGTCAAAGGGGCCTACCGAACATCGCAGAATGTGGAAAGACACGTGGAATTGTGCTCAGAAAGGCACACAGAGAAAGGACAGCCACAGGCTTGGTGAATCGTTCTCCACCAAACGTTTGGCCTTTTCAGTCCATTCCAGTCCATGTCCCAAACCGTTCCAAGACTTGTCCACCATCACCCCTGAGTCCCTGTCCCAACCAGGCATACCACCTGAGGCACACCCTCAAGAGAACCCTTTGCAGGTGGGTCCACCGTTCAGCGCGTGCCACACGGAAGCTCCACAGAACCCCCGAGGTGTCCTAGCGCTGCCCTATGGCGTGAGCTGCGTGGGCATTTGGGGCCGCTTGGGACATGCGGATTTTGGAGAAGGGCTACTTCTTCCGCGGGGGGAGGAATGGGAGAGGGAAGACTTGGTTGGTCCCAACGTTCTGGGTCCTCAGTTGGGCTTCGTGTGCGTAGATGCGCACCCCACTGGCCCACTGCAGCCTTATGGTTTGTGCCCGCCAGCTTGTCATGGGATGGGGAAACATGAAGGAGAATGAGGATCCCATCCTCTTTGTTGCTAAGAAGAAGGGATGCCTTCCTCTTTTGCAAAGAAGTGCCCAAGAATGGGTGCTAACAGGGTGACCAAAAATTTGAGGCTCCTTGGCACTCTTCGCCTTCGCCGGGGTCTTCACTTATTACTCCAACACCATCTTGTTCGATTGCGTCTTGGAGACGAGCCATGGCTCCTATGGCCAGCTGATGTCGGACATCTTGGGGAAATACGGAGGCCGCAGGGGGGTTGGCAGGTTGTGGGTGAGGAGCCGGAAGATGTTTTTCCATTTTGCGCGTGGCTACTTCCAAGGAAATGGGTATCTACTTTCCGAGTCACTTTCACATGGACGTTGCCAGCGCCATCGCACCCTCAAATCAAAACGTCGAAGCTGATTACTTCGTCCGCATGACATCGTGATGTGTATGGAGCTACTTCGCATACTTCGCTATTTCCAAGATGACGTGACTACCCTGACCTGGGAGGCATGACCTTGGACCTTTTTGTCTTCGTGGAGGGCTTGGGGGGCAGTCGCCACCTACGCATCTGGGCGTAAGGACGTGCGGTTCCGCAAGCGTTTGCTGGGGAGGAGGAGATATGAGGAGAACATTCTTATGGAGGGGTGTGGATTGACTGCCCCAACCGTAGGTTTTGGTTTGGTGGTGTGAATGCAGGTGTGATTTTTTGGAGGATATGTACATGGAAATGACTCAAATCTGAAACGCACTGGTGATTGGGGGCGCCGGTTTCTCTCCTTCCTGGCGAACCGTGCGTTATGACAATGAACATCCAGAGACGTTCGTTTTGAACGGATGGTGAAGCAATGATGAACGGGATTTAGTGATCATACATGAAGATCTTCAGAGCATCCATGGATAGTGAAGATCCCACACATCAAGCATCCTGGTCTTCTTTGTTTCACCCTCGCCGTTGCCTGCTCTCATCTCGCTCATGTCTTTTTCTATGCCCTTTCCGCACGCGCACACGAAGCAGACGAAGCACCCGCACATACCCAAGGTCCAGCACCTTGCATCCAGGATTCCAGACTGATCAGTTGGACCGAAGAACAGCAGAACCAGCAGAATCAGCCGGTTCTGCTTTATTAGGCTTTCCCTAGGGCTCCAGTCCTGCCTCCTCAGAAGGTATTTGGACCCTCTAAACCCACCCCAGTCCCACCTTCTTAGAAGGCCCTTGGAGCCCTATAGCTATAGGGTTTATTTAGGCTTTGGGCTGAACCTCCGAAAAGTTCCACTGAAATGGGCTTCCGTCCCGTCCGAATCGCCCATAGTCCGTCCGAAGGCATCGCCCAGCCCTCGGTCCTTCGCTCGGGGGGTCCTGGCATCGGTCGACCGCAAGTGTCTTGAGGTGGTCTTCATCATGGACTATGTGCCCCAGGTGTTCAGAAGGGGTGAAGTGGTTCCCAACTCTTGCCGGGGTGCTGCCCCAAAATATGTCAGGAGATATTGCAGCATGGGACATGCTGGACAGGCACTGAGTCAAGGTGATTGAACACGAGATGCCTAGGTTTTGGGCTTGAGCGGCTCTTTTCGGTGTGTCTAATTGAAGTGGTCTTTCGGCCAGCCATAGTTGTAAGATGAAGTTTGTAGCGGGCCACCTGTTATCTACATAGAAAAGATCGGTACCCTCAAACCTAAAGCCATGAGTTGCCCCAAAAGCGGGAAGACACTCAACGTTTTGCCTTGTGCCAACAAGTACAGCAGCTTCGCTATACTTTCAGAGCGACAAAGAGACCAAAAAAGCACAAAGCAGTTTGCAGCCCTTCGAGAATCACAGGGAGCTGCACCTGCACCTGCAGATCTGTCGCACGGACGGCGGACTTCCCCAGTTTGCACATCCCCAAACACGGTCCTCCTGTGACCGGACGGTCCAACCGTGAAAGGGGCGGCTGAAACTGCCGCCTCTGCCGTTTTACCAGGTGTGTGAGCTCTGGGGTGAGGATGTTTGGTGCACCGATAAGCTCAACGTCTTAGCGGCCGCGACGCTGGTGATTTGGCCTTTGAGAGCCCTGGCCGCACGGAACGGGAAGTGAAAAGTAGGGTGGGGGACTGAAACCTGAGAAGCAGGGTGAGGTGTGGTGTTCCCGAGTTGAGGGTTTGGAATGCTGAAATCTGGTTGTTGTCAAGTTGTTTTCAGCCCACAATTCTTGAAGCTACCTTCCAAACAGATCAAAATGTTGAATTCGAGACAAAAGGTTATACCGGCTCAACTCAAGAATTCGAGGTGAGCTCCAAAACCACGCCACCCAAACGCACCCAGCATTCCCCAATGAGATCCCCCGCTTCCGACTGCAGCATTGTCACCCGGCATTCACCTCCTCCCAGAGCCACCGAAGGCCTCGGCCTGTCTCGCTGAGGCTGTTTGAAGGGCTTGTCTGCCTTGCGGTACACCTCTACCTGCAGCATCGCCACCATCGTCACTTGCACGGATCGTCGTGAGCGCAACAAGCACCCTGATATATCCAAGTACTCCGGTGAAGCAATCCACTTTTGGGCCATTTTTCCTCCCCCTCCCCGGAAAGACGCGTTGGAACCCACTCCACCCTGCAGTCTGCGACAGATGCCACCTGAAGTCATCCCCACAGATGCGACAGATCTTCGCGGTGGCCGTGACTAGGTCTTTTACTGCGGTTTTGTGAATTCAACAAAAGAATACGCATACACACCCATAGTTCTGTATAGGAAAGAACTTTCCACTATAGTTTTGTTCTGTATAGGTCCTGATAAACCCATACTATACACATGGTTATCAGGACCTTCCACTCGTGACCTCTTCAAGGATTGGTAGAACCGTGACCTGAAATCATACGGCCTGTTTGGTGACCGACCCGCCACTGGGATCAAGGACGGTCACTGGGAAGGTCCTGGTAGACATCATTGTAGGATTGGACAAATACCCCATGTCCTGTTGGAAGGGAACAGTACATTCACATGCCATGCCATGCCATCCCAAATCAACACATCATACTACTACACATGAGCAAGGCTCAAAACCTCCCAAGATGAACTAAGTAAAGGCCCAGCTCACATGATTAGACATACTACACATGTCTGACCTGAGGTCTTCACCTGCCTGGTGGTCTTCTTCAAGGCTCCCAGCCACTTCGCGGCCCAGGAGGCGACCCTACAGCAGGTGCGGACCAAGACACGAGGCAGACACGAACGGTGCGAGGCGCTCGATCGAAGCACCGGGGGGGATGTTGTGAACCACCACCGAGGTGCAGAGGTATATGTGGGGGGGAGAGTTATACGCAGCTGTGTATGTAGATGCGTCCATTCTCACTTAGCAGGTTTTTTGGATGTTGTGAATTTCATTGAGCAATTGAAGTTCTTTGAGCGGGGCTTTGAATCGTTCAACACTTGGCGCTCTGTTTCAGCGCCGTCCAGAGACGTGGAGACTTGGCCGTGCACCGTGCCTTCTTCGAGCGCCGTGTTGGATCCGAAGAGCGCCGTGCCCGTGAGGGATGCGATCCGGAAGTCGGGGGTGCCCCCGACATCACATCCAGCTCCACGTGTCGGGGACGACGACGACGTTTCACACCACCCAACTCCATGTGACTTCCTGGTTTGTTTATATCATCATTTTTGGGGTGCCTTTGCGAGGTGAGCGAGTGGATGTTCCCCATCTTCCAGGGGAAAAAGCTCGAAAAGCAAACATGCAACACTCAACGTGTCGGAATTTGTCAGAGAACACCCTCTTCCACTTGGCCAAAAAGGAACATGTGGTATTGTGGAACTGGGATGGAGGTTCTTTGTTTGGTTCTTTGGGATGAGGGAAGTGAGAGGTTTCTGGCTTCAGAAAGTTTAGGTCATAGTTCTCCCTAGGGCTCCTGGCCCACCTCCTGAGAAGATGGTTGGGGTGGGCTTGGGGGGGTCTAACCACCTTCTGAGGAGATGGTTGGAGCCCTAGGGTCTGAAGACTGAGCATGTAGCCCTAGGGAAAACTCTCCGTGGTGCCAGTGGACTCTTGAGGAGTAAGTGGCTCTTTGGTCATCGAAGCTTCGAATCATCTCGCTTTCCGGGTTCATAGGCTATGGCTCCCCAGCTGCCCGCATGGGTGCGGTCATGAGGTTTGTATAAACCGCAATAAACAACATTCCGTAGGAGTAGCAGCAACCATTGTTGTACCTACAACATTTACAAGTCTACTCGATAGCTTAAGGTGGAAGGCCGGCCCTTAATAGTGTCAAGTATGGAGATCCTTGCTGTGTCTGGTGCAACAGTTGTTGAGATTGACGAGGATGAGCTTGGGTGCATGGTGGAACGTGGAGATTATGTGAGGGACCTAAAACGATGCCTGGCACATCGCGTGGGATTTTCGAGGTTTCAGCAAAGACTCGTTTGTGAAGGGATCGAGCTGAAGGATGATATGCCTTTCAGACCAATCCCAAGTTTGCAGCTGGTAATTGTAAGCTTTTGTGCTCCTGAGACGGAAGAGAGACTAATTCAAAAGTGTCGCGAGAATAAAGTGGATGAACTTGAACAACTCCTTCAAAGGCCCCTGGATCCAAATGTCATGGATGCAGTCACTGGAGACCCACCAATCCATGTTGCAGCTGAAGCAGGCCACTTGGAAGTCATGCGCTTACTACTTGACGCTAGAGCTGACAAGAACCAAAGACATGGATTCGGGGAAACAGCTTTGTTTGTCGCGGCTGAGTGTGGCCACTTGGATGTCGTGGAGTTGTTGCTCGATGCTGGAGCTCATACTGGAGCTGACAGGCGGAGGGATGATGCCATGTCTGTAGCCGCTGAATGCGGCCACCTGAAAGTCGTGCAGTTGTTTCTCGACAGAGCAAACGAGAATCCAGCGAAGGTGAGGGTCCATTGTGACAAAGCTGTGTGGATGGCAGCTCACCATGGCCACCTGAAAATAGTGCAGCTCTTGCTCAATGCTGGAGCAGACATAAATGCTGCACTGTTTGCAGCAGCTGGACAAGACCAGCTCAGACTCATACAGTTACTCTTCAGAGCTGATGCAGCGAAGGTAGATCGGGAAACAGCTATGCGGATAGCAGCTGCGAATGGCCACCTGAGACCTGTGCAGTTCTTGCTCGCTGCCGGAGCTGACAAGAATGCATTGGACGCAGATGGTGCAACCGCTTTGGCTTATGCAGCTGAAAACGACCACTCGGAAGTCGTGCAGCTGTTGCTTGAAGCTGGAGCTGACAAGAATGCAGCAGCGGCAAATGGTGCAACGGCATTGCTTCTAGCAGCTGGGCAAGGCTGCTTGAAGGTTGTGCAGTTGCTGCTTGAAGCTGGAGCTGACAAGAATGCATCAAAGACAGATCTTACAAAGGCATTGCTTGCCTCAGCTTGCAATGGCCACTTGGAAGTTCTGCGGTTGTTGCTCGAGGCCAGAGCTGACATGAATGCGAGGAATGCTGATGGGGAGACGGCTTTGCTTCTTGCGGCTCAGCGGGGCCACTTGGATGTTGTGCAGTGCTTGCTTGGTGCCGGAGCTGCCAAGCATGTGGTGAACGAACGTGGGACAACAGCCTTACAAGTTGCAGCTGAGAAAGGCCACCAGGCTGTCGTGAAGTCGTTGCTGAATGCTGGAGCTTATGGATAGGTCCTGTAAACTCAGATCCTGTGTGCAATGGTTTCCACAATCGAAAGAGCTGCGCCCGATGCCGGGGCCGCCATGATCAGAAGGTGGAAAAAGAACTGATGCATGCCTAGCCGTGGTGATGTGTGGGGCATGCCCATGGTCAACATCAACAGCCAACCCTAGAATCCTAGAAGTCCAGTTCAACCATCTTCGGCACCACCAAAGTCTCCAGGAAACTCTTCTTTCGGATTCATGGTCAGGCCGTTTTGATCAACTGTTAGTCCACCTGCCTGGGGAGGCTTCCCGCTACCGGGGCGTCCACATGTTCCACCCCTTGGGACTCCCACCCCTTCGCGTTCGCCACGCGTTCGAGCTCGCGCGTTCGACCAGGTGCTCTCGCAGGCTCGTTGGAATCGCTCCAGCTTTCAGGTGCACCCGGCGTTCGGTGGGACGACGGTGGGACGACGGGACCGAGACTCGCTCCGTTCGGCGGACTGGCAAGTCAACCGCCGGGGTCGATTGATCAATGATATTCCTGGGGTCGTATAGATTGGAGATCATTGATATCTCAGACCATCCATCAAACTGGCATCGTTGACCTCATTTTACATCCCTCTTCAACGGACCCTAGTCCCATGGATGGTCTGGGTCTGCCCTTTCCACGTGTTTGGCGACCCGTCTCCCGAGACCCCCCGCGGGGCGGAGAATTCCGCCGCCACAGAAGCCGCCGGAGGGTTGATCCGATCCCACAGGGAGACACCGAAGCAGCGAAGAGCGACCCAGCGGGCCCAGCGACCCAGTGGACGTGGAAAGACCTTCAGAAGCGACCCTTTCGGGGGAGGATGAGTGGAGGATGAGTGGAAAGAGGCTTCCCGGCTTCTTTCTTTTTCTTTCCGAGTTTCGGAGGCTCCGGTTTTCAAGCCTCCAAATGTAGGAAGGACACCCTCACTCGCCCCCCCCCCAAAAAATGTCCCCACATCAAAACCCTCAAAACATCCAAAGCATCGGAGCATCGGCTCACCTCTGTGGAAGAACCTCCTGCTTGGAAGAACCCCTTGCTTGGAAGAACTCTGCGAACAACGGAAGATTTTAAGATGTTTCTTTGAGCTAAGAAGTAGTTTGACCATGTTTCTTACCTACACTGACCTTTGAAATCAACACCCCTTAAATGATGTATATATATATAGGTCAATAGGTCAAGCGCGTGTTGGAGCGTGTTGGTCTACCGTCGGCGACGGTCTAAGCTGCAGCTCCGTACGGTACACGGGCGTGTGGCACATGCAGCATCACCCGGCGGGTCGGCGTCACCGAGCGAACCGCCGAACTCCTCCGAACCGAACCGTCGAACCTCGGTGGCCGCGATCCGAACGAACGAACGACACCGGGGGGGGTTTGGCCGGAGCCCCGGGGAAGAGTTGCACATGAACACCGTGCCAGCTGAAGTCAGTACGTGACCGAACGTTGGGTCCCAGCCAGTGACCCTTAACTACCCTTCGTAGAGGGAACACAGCACCTATGTGGCCCTCAGATCTCTGGCGTCTCTGGCATCTCCCTGGGTCACGTACGAGGCGAACCAGGTGGAGATGTTGACTCCTTGGATTCTTAGTCCGATTTGCACCGACAGAAAGTCAGATACTGCAGGATGTGACCTGAGGTGTACAGTACACACGTTCGGTGTTTTCGGTGGGTCTCAACGAGGAGAGTGCTCCAAAGCCCAAGTTTTTTGGGGGGTAATATGCCGTACCGCTAGATTGTCAAAGGCTGCTTCTTGATCCAACTTGATATTGTTTCAACTGTATCTCATCAGTGCCAAGATCCCAGGACTTCTTGTTAATCCTAAAAAGTACGACCCCTTTGCATTGTGTGCCCTTCTGATGAAACATGATGAACCGGCTTTGTGGCAGAATTCATTGTCGCCCTGGTCTTCGTGCACACGTGCACTGTGCTGTCCAGGTGCTGTCGATGGCGTGCTTTGCCTTCATGAGACTTGGCCTACGGTTCAGAGCACACCCTGGGAATCTTTACAGGGTTGATTGGAGGACCTTTCTTAAAGAAACACCCAAGCTCACCAAGAAAGGACATGACTTAGGGGGCATCTCTTTTGCTCACCAAGAAAGGTGCCCAGTGATGGGAATGTCGCCTCTGCCCCGCGGTGCTCCACGGCGAGCCTGGGTTCCCTGCAGACGAACTGGTTCGGGTCGATCGGGAGGTGGTCAACATCGGCCCAAACGACGTTTTCCGGTGAAGAACGCTTTGGTTGGAGATGGGGCAAATGCAGTGTAGCCACATTTTGGGTGGTGGTTTGGATGATTGGTCAATTTCCATCCCTGACGAGAAAAATGATATCTATCTCAGGTGGCAGGTTATTCTTGCAATTCGTATCCTCAGGGGGGTTTACATTAAACAAATACAATATCATACTATATATATCATTGATATCCCGGAGTAGATAGAATATGCACCAATCCAAAAACATTACCCGTTTCCAGCGGTTTCCTATAGTTTCTTTTTTTCCGCATATTCTCTTTAGTCCAGGATGACAATGACCCTGCGTACCATCTTCCAAGGCTTCCCATTCACACCAAACCGGTCTACTTCGCCGCGAACCGCGGCCCTTCGCCGCGGCCTTGCGCCGCCGAGGACACACACCAACTCCCCAGAGATCGCCCTGCGCTTCGCCGGCGGCCCATCAGCGGCGAAGCAGGTGCTCCGTGCGCAGACGGCGGTGCTGTGGGCAGCCGCTTCAGCGGAAGACGAGGGTGCTGGGGCCACGAGTCGGTCGAGACTCTAGACTGGTCTTCGGATTTTAAGAGGGGTCAGTCAGGTCTGGGTGCTACAGCAGTAGGGGGACCTTCGTGGAGATGAGTCTTCTCTTTGGGGGAGGCCTTTGAACTCATTTTAGAATACATGCAGCCCAGCACAGGGCAGGGATAGACCCCAGGGCGGAACCAAATCAGCAGTTTGGAGTCTCAACAACTGATCTGTTCCAAACGGGGGAGTTTGGTTGCCATGGAATCTTCACTGGGTGTTATTTATGGTTGTCAAAATCTACAGTGACTCTTGGGTGAATATTCTCGCAGGATTTTTCATGGTCGCTGTGCCATGCAGATGGACAGGGGCTTGGTGGACACGCGCGGCCCTTGGGGGCGGGTGGGATCTGACGAAGTCCGATTCGGTGATGAAGGCGTGAATAGCCACCAAACATGAGGGGTTTAGAGGGAGTGGTTTGGAACCGGAATGGCCAATATGATATAGCTGATTCTTGACCCTAGGGCCCTAATGGGCCCTAGACCACCTCTTCCCATCAATATAGGAATCTAATGGTTCAAGAAGTTCAAGAGCCGCATGTGTTGAGGGAGAGTCCGCACCACGCAAGCCAGTGGCACCAAGGTCTATTGCGGAATTGCTGTGTGCGGCTACCTCTCCTTTTTGGACGCTAAGATCTCATGGAGGGCAGTTGAGGGGTGCTCGTGGCCAGAGATTGGGCATGGCCAGTGCTCGTGCACTTGAAAGTCTCCAGGATTCTTTTGCTTCTCTTGCAGAAGTCCAAAGAGGGTTTTTTTCATTTGGGAGGTTCAAAGACAGAGTTTTAAACGAGTCTTCGACTTGTAGGTTCAAAGTAGATGGCACAAACCCCAGACTGCCAGTGACCAAGTGGACTGTTTGTGATCACAAGTGGTGCCCTGTGTCATCCTGAGTCCGAAGCAGTTGAAGCCTTCCGTGATCAAATCGCTCGCGCTCCGGCAGGCAGGGTTCAGCGGGTTCGGTGGGTCCGGTGGCTAAGGGTCCTGATGGCACCACCAGTAGAGTTCACCCCCTGTTTGAAAAGGGTCTCCCCAAGTACCCTCCGTTGTTGACTTCCGAAGTGAGAGCGTATCCGTGGTCGTTTTGGAACACGACAAGGGCAAAAGATGGTTGCAGCAGTTTTTTTGAAGCAGTTGCTGAAGCAGTGGACTCGGACTCGGGGATTTCCAGCTGATTTGGATCTGAGGAAGACACCAAGCAAGACTTCCTGACGAACTACGATGTTCAAGACAAGCTCATTGTGATGTGCCGATGTTTGCTCTCAGTGACGCTGGTCTTCGCTTGCCCGCTGAACATGTGTCGTGGATGAACACGATCGATCTTGGGGGAGGTTCTCATGGCATAAACCAGGGTATGCCCTGGTGTAGGGCCGCTGGCTGAAGATCTATTCATGTTTTGGTTTGGAACGTCCAGCAACATGGTTGAACCGATGTGGTCGGTTCGGTTTGCGCGCTTTCTTTGGCGGCTTGCATTGCATGCATGCAATATGTGTCCATTCAGTTTTGCAAGGTTTGACCCGTGGCCACGTGTGCATATGCACTATATTGCGGGAGTTGCCCTACGAGGTTACAACCCCTCCGGGATGCATGGTGCAGGCTTTTTCCAGTCAGAAGGCAAAGGCAAGAGCACACCCATCTTCCAACTCATGAGTTGTTCGACCATTTCATTGGCAACTCGAGCAGAGTCTCTTTGCAAAGGAGGATCCAGGTTGTCGCTGGGTCTTCAGCGCGCCGAAGGTAAGGAAGTCACGCCGCACACATCCAGCAAACTGTTCCACAAACCCCTGAGCATCAGCGCCATTGACAGCTTGAAACGGCCTTTGGTCCTGCGCACACTATGTGGCACAATGTGCAACAATGAGTTGGGAATCACACACACTAATCCGTGTATTCATGTCCTACAGGCGTCTTCTAGCCAAACCAGACATTGAAGGCTGTTGCTCGGGAATGTTGCTTAGTGGACTATTCTTGTTGGCAGTGTGCTTGGGCGGGTAGGGCGCCAAACACGACCCGCTTGCATCCCTTTCAGTAGAGATCTTGGGACCCAGGGTTTTCCGCAAGAACTCCAAACCACCAGAACTCCTTGTGAGGAACAAGCGAAGACACTCCCCTTCAGTCTATTGATCTATGATCTCGTTTATACTCCGGCGAATGTGCGGACCTGTCGTCAGTTCCAGTTCATCAGGGATCGATTCCTTTTTCTGCTACACGGGTGAGAGAACGGGGGAAGAGAACTATGGTGTGATTGTCCGAATAGACCTGCCTATCCTGCTGCACTTGGAAAGCAAAACACCAAACTGCGTATAGTTGCTTATCTACCGGAGCTGAGCCCAGAAGATCTCACTCGCCTTCCATTTGTTGAGGAAGGGTGCCCAGAATGCCTAGTTAAGCCTTTCACAAGCCTTTCGCATATCTTCCCCACACTTTCGCAAGTCACACCAGCTATTTGGGTTCTGCTTCTCCTTTATTCAATCCGCTCCCCCTCACCTTTAGCACGCACGCGCCGGCCATACCCTTCAGTACCCGCCGTTCCCCCGCGCCCACAGGTTCCCGGCAGTGCAGGCGTTGTTCAACGTTTTGGAACACTTCCGCCCGCCGCATCGACATCACGAGGGGCTCTATGAGAACGATCTGGTGCGGGTGCCGGTGAGCACCTTGGCCTTTGCCATCACCTTGGGGGTGGTGCCTTGGATTTAAGCTCAAACGGAACGGAACGGGGGAAGAACATGGGAGGGAACCAGCGGAATTGGAGGGAAATGGGCTGAACAGAAATGACGTGCTTATTTTCTTTTGCAGAGCACCTGGTGGGTGTGTGGGTATCGTTTGTCTTTTTGGTGTTTGGGATCATGATGGATCATGTTTGCATTTTGTAGCCTTGGATTGGGTCCTTAGGCTTGCTTGGGTTGGCAGGGAATTGCTGGGAGAGGAAGAATGGGGGAGGTCGATGTGGCAGAAAAACTGGGGGGGGCAAACTCTTTACTTTTTGCGATCCCGCAGCTCGGTGTTTGCAGCCTGAGTCCCACCTTTGGGAAGTTTACAACCTAACATCTACAACTTATGGGAGACCCTTTCATTCTTGAGGGTTTCCCAAAAAGTGCTTCATCTTCAACCTTTGATCTCTATAGAGAGCCTTTTTCATATCCATCACCGTTTCACTATTCTTCCCTTCCCCAAACGCCACGGTCCGTGGTTCTGCGCCGTTGCCAGTGCCGCCTTCCGTTTCGGCCGTCCAAGGCCTTGAAGTCGCCACATGTGGCCGATCTCATCTCGACCATCAGCGCCTACTTCTCCTCGCCCTTGATGTTCGCCTTCCCCGCGGTGATGCACTGGAAGATCTTGAGGCCGCCACCGGGACGACGGAGCGCGCACTGGGGCGGAAGACGACGACCGCGTGGACGGACGGCGTTGGTTCGGTGGGTTCGGTGTCAGAGTTCCTGGTGTCGGTGAGCACTCAAGAAGCTACCTGAAGGCGGAAGAACACCCGTGAGTAAGCTGAAAATGACTGAAGTCTGTACTGAAACCTGTGTAATACAAAGAGTTCCTTAAATATTTAGATGTTGAAAGCCACAACATTTGGATCATTGAGTAACATGTACCTTGATGCCGTTTCTGAGGGCTGAGGGTTGGGAAAAACAAGAAGTTCCCACAGCAGAGAAGGGAACTATATACCAGCAGTCACAAGACGGGGTGCCGAACTTGGAGGATACGGGTGCCCATAATCACGAAAGCTAGCATCAGCTAGCTGGAGTTGCTCTTGCTTTAGCAAGTCAAGGGCTCGCAGCCTCGAGAATCATGAATCACGTGAAAACTTCACGTGTAGGGGGGGCCCCCCCCCGCGGGTTCAACTCCCCCCTGGGACGCTTCCGGTACGTGCTATAGTGCTATGTTTAGGTGGCAGGTGAAGTAGGCCACTGTTTCAGTTTGGAAGGGGGGGCATCAAACATGAAATTTACGCGAGGGTTCAAGGCTTCAATGATGAGCATCACGGGAAGTCAGAAACCAGGCGTATCAGATACACGTGCCTTTGAGCTTCCTTCGGCATCTCAGTGCATATATGGCTGACACTTCACTCGACAAAGATGCTCAAACAAACATACATAAACCAGGTGTATCTGATACGCCTGGTTTTTGACTTCCCGTGATGCTCATGATGCTGCGTTGCTTTTCTTCAGTCCCTCATTACATATACATGACGATCCAACAGCAGATTCAACAAGCTCACATGTTCATGACATCGACATCGATAGAAGAAACCAAACAAATCATGCAAGCAGCTTTGTTTTGCCTCTGGGGCACCTCTTGGGCACCTCTTATGGCATCCACACTGGTTCAACTCCTCCGTGGAGGTTTTGGGATACGGTGCAACAGATTCAACAAGCTCACAGGTTCGTGAACACATCGGATGCATCGAACAGTGTGGCAAAGTCCAGCCACGCTTCCTTAATTATCGGGGACTTCAATTCTAAGGTTGGCTGTGTCATTGCTGTTTGTGTGTCTTACATGTTCACAACGTTTTACCTCATGAGCATTTGCCTCACTCCGCTTGATGTCCCACCAGTCCGGATGCACCCCTGCTAGCTTTCGTCACCTACCCTCGGCCTCAAGTCCACTCACTTAGCGACTAAAAACCCACCCAACTCCATGTGACTCCTGGTGCTACCGATCTGCCGAGCTTCATTTTCCAGCTTCCTCCAGCTTCTTTGACACGGCAAACAACCAATTCCCCTGGGCTTTTGAAGGCGCGGCCCAAATTCAATTCCCTGGCTGACGTAGACCCAGCTCTGGCCATATCCAAAGCTCTATGTGAGCTTCCAGCACAACGTCCATGGAATCCGTACATCTGAGAAGGTTTGTTTTGCTTCCCGGAGATCAGTGAATCCCCACCACCTCCTCCGTTCTCCGAATCGGTGGCGCGCCAGCGCTGTTCCTGGTTCCACAAAGGGGGGGACAGTCAAGCCGAGGGTTGAGGCATTCTCGCTTCCGGCCCCTCCGAAACCGCCCGTTGAAACCGCCCCCGCGAACCAAACCGATTGTGTCGGAGTGCAGGCGAACCAGCAACACCTTACCGGTGCTCTTGCTGAGCATCACTGCTGCGTTGTGGCTGGCAGAGCTGTCTCACTTCTTCTGAGAGGGCTGCGATGTGAAGCTGCTGATGGTTTTGTTCGTCTTCGACGTAGGGCCGGGCCCCGCGGTCGAAGATGCGGTTTGAGCAAGCGAGCTCGAAGCTTAGCTGGGCCCTTGTGAAGTACGCACTTTGACCTGATGGCCCAAGAGCTAAGTACAGCAGCACATGCTTGAAGGGCACAGTCATGCGGATGGTGTGGCATGAAACATGAAAATAATTGAAAAGATCATTGATCTTAAACGCTTTACTTCCTCAAGACAACACCCAGAGGTTCACGGACCCTCATTGCTAGGTTTGGACCATAGCCACATGAGGCGTTCTTCCGTCGGTTGAGAGCAGTACTCTACCTACTCTACTCATCTTCAAAAGCAAACATGACGTATTCCAAGTACATCTTGTACATCTGAGGGCCTTGGCATCTGATTTTGTGTTCTCGCCTGCCTGCCTTCGAGTTCGCCACGGAAAAGGGTGAGTGAGGGTGACACGTCTAGCTGGTCCTTGGAGCAGAGAGGCCTGCTCAACGAAGGTGGTCAAGAGAACCGTGGCTTTTCTTCCTCTTGTGACTGCACGCTGCTCAGACCTGCCATTCGAGGTCTGAGACAAGTAAACCAGCTCACTGCAGGTTCCCCTCAAGACCCGGTGGTCCGAGCTGGAGGAGACCAGGAGACCATGAGACGCAGCATATGTTTTTATGGTTGACACATCTTGGACCGGCAAGGATGTCCTCCTCGTTTTTTGGATGTCCTTACTTGGGGGGGGTTCAACCTTTTTGTTGCCCTTCATGGTACGTCCTGGGGAAACGGCGGGGGAAACCTTGATTGAAAGGGTCGGAGCACGCGGTCCGCCCCCGAGGATCACCTGCGGTCCGAGTCCCCCCGGGATTTCGACAGAACGAACACGTCATGACACGAACAGGCAGTTGGACGGTACAGGCCCCCCGGCGAACGACGATTTTTCTGAAAATACACATGTTTTGTTCACTTCTATCATGGTGGTGTGTTGAAGTATGTTGGATAAGTGAACGATTTTCCTTTGGAATCTTTGGAGCCTTTCTTTGTTCTATCCTTTCAATCGAAAGACGGAGTGGACGGGTTCTGTCCAGCATTCCGTCAGCTATTGCAGGTCACTGACCAATCTGTGACGGCATGTCATCAGAAAAAGCCCTTCACAGACGGGGGAGCATGCCTCGGATTCTTAGCCTTTCATGGTATTTCATTCCACAGTTACAGATGTGACCCGTTCATCATGCATCCAGGGCCATGTGACAGAAGCTAAGTCAAAAATCACAACGCAAGATCCATTCCAGCTTATCACAACGCTTATGTCTTCTCCCCAGCAACCCAAAGATCGATCTCTCCCAGCTAGATCCCGAGCCCCTGAGTGGACTCCCCAAGCGGCCGCTGTCGGCGCCACCCCCCAGGTCCACGCGGCGCAACGAAGGAGGTCCAAGCTCAGCAAGGCACCGATGGCACGGACCACGGAAGTGACAGCGCTCGGCTCGGACACGGCGAGGGTCTGGTGGGTCGGTGATCAGGAGGTGTTTGGCACTGCCGGAAAACAGCGGGAGTGTCTGGCGCCAGTGAGCATGGCGTTTTGGGGGAGGGTCCTCTGACACATTCTGAAACACACGTTCTTTTTTGGTTAACGCGGAGAAAGCCTAGAAAGCCGCAGAAGATTTGCACATCATCTTCAAGAATCCAGGTGATGTCGATGTATTTTTCTTTTTTAACAAAGTGGTTAGTACGTGCAGCATCGCAAAAAGGCGATCTGGTGAACCGGATTTTGCTCCTCACCAGAAGGTTCCACCCAACAGAAGCATCCCAAAGGGAACCCCTGGAACTCTTGCAAAAATGGACGATCTTGACGGTTCATGGTTCTGTTTATGGTTTCGTCCATGCCATTCAGTTGGATCCTACCTTTGGTTTGGTCCGTGTTCACCTGGACAGACATCAAGAGACTCAACAAGAGACATCAGCCGACCAGCGCCGTGTGAAAACCTGGCTGCACCAGAGAATAACCACTCGCTATCGTTGGATCTGGGGAGCGCTGATGCGATGATGGTGTGCTTCCACACCTTCATTCTCTCTTTTTTATGGCCTAGCTTACCTTACAGCCTTATACAACTATAGTCTATAGTTGTGCTCTCAGATATTTCGTGTCTCCTGAAGTTCTCCTCCATCAAGGGACCCCCCAAAAAGGAGGTCACCGGATGTCGCATTTTCTCCCAGAAGCTCCACTCACTGGTGCACCAAACCTCTGATTCACTGGAGCATGTGCAAAAAAGACACGGAGGGGGGGCGATCGTTCGTAAACTCCGCGGGACATGTTCACATGTTCTTGGAGACCGCGACGCTGACCAGCCTAGCTGGACCCGGCGCTCCGCAGCGTGGTGTGAGTCGCGAGGCCCTGGGGAAGCCGCGGACGGTGCGGAGGGCGGAGGCCGATGCGGCGGAAGGCGAGGGCGGGTCTGGGGGTCTTTGGTGATGGGATGGATGGAGGGAACACGCTGAGAAAGGCGTAGTGGGTGTTCTATTTTTTTGGGGGGTAGCCGTGGTAGCAAGAGGTATGGCAAAAGGCCTGATTTTGGGTGACACAAATTGGCCGACATTGGCCTGCCATTGATGATGGTTTCGAAGCTGAAAGGGATTGAATCCAACCTTCCAAGGTTTTGGAGGAGGAAGAGAAGTCATGAAACCGGACTGGTCGATTGCATGACGCTAAATTGCCGCTAAAGGTAGCGACCATTGGACAGGTGTGTCAGCGACCTGAGATGACCTGACGTGAATAGATTGAAGGTGCTGGAAAGGGGAGCTTCTTCATACAGTAACTGTTCAAGCAACCGACACTCCAATGGAAGGTTGCCAAGATGTATCAAGATCAGTGAACCATCGATCTACTGTATGTAGTTTCTCTTTGGAAAGACACCCTCTGCCCGACCACCGCCCCAAGGGCTTACCACCCCCGGCGCCAAGGAGGTTCCACCGTACCCGGCCGCGGTGGACGTTCCATCCGGTGTCACCTTCGGCGGAACCCGCGGTGCCAGGCGAGTTCGCCAAGCCTTTCCCCTTCTCCGCGGTGGTGGGCCGAGGGACCCAGTGGACTCGAGAGCGAAGTGGACTGCTGAGAGGGTCAGGGTCACTCATGTTCTTCTTTTTTGCGGCCTGCAGGTAAAAAAAATCTTTAAGCCATGTGCGAATTGTCATGGAAACCCTAACCAAGACCATCTCATGGGTATCCAATGAAGATTCCAGATACACGTGGATACATCCGTGGAATGGGTAGTCCACAAAGGACACCCGGACCCTCTTCCAGGACTGTTGGT